GTTTATGTGGGGGCATTAATGACACATGATCTATTAAGCCATAGGAGTTCAGTACGTGGGTTTATTGTACTGACACCTGCAAACCTGAACTCTGAGCCATTCAGCCAGTAGACCGTTTTGACCTAGAAGGTTGAAGATATGGACAGCCTCTTTAGTTTGTACTGGTACTTAGAAATTGAGGCTCCAATCTCTGTTTCCTTAATTTGCATTCATACGAAACGGTCTACGACCTTCGCCTAGTTTCGGCGACATAGCTGCGGCTATGAGCACTGCTGCAACTTTAATAAACGACTATCACCGTTCGTTCAGATAACATCAAGCTCATAGGATTGCTTCTCTTGCTCGAATCAGCTGTAACAAGTTGATATCTCGGACGCAGTGCAGTCCTGTGGAAAATTAGCTGTAAACTACAATTCAGGTCAATTCTATTTTTACCTACTCACGTGTTTCATGCATTATGTAGGTGTCAAAATATATGCCAACAAGGGCCCCTTACAGAACCTTGTATGTTGACAATTTATCCCTTCAAGTCAAGGCGACTACTAACGGCCAGATGTCGCCTCTGTTATTGATCGTGTTCAGGTGACCGGACGATTTCACTTACAACCTGACATGAGGGCTGTGAGCGATGCATTTTCGTCTAGAAATCGTGTGCTGCATGAAATAGGGAGTAGACACGCGAGTGAAACTGTTCTACTTAGCTTCTCTTTTCTCAATTCGGAACCTTCCGATTTCACTTCCGACTTCCCCGATTTTTTTTCAGCTACATTCAGGACGGCTCAAATACGAAGGAGGACAGTTTCATTCTGACGGCTACTGACGGCAAACAAACCAGCCAACCCCTGGTAGTCACAGTAGCTATTCATCCTCGGGTGCTTCACCAGCCGGTCTGGAAACTCCTTGTCAATAACAGCATCCTGGTGTGGGAAAACGCCTCAGTGACCCTGCACCAGTCCGTCTTCCCGCAATCTGACACTGGAAACGACAGCAGTCCACACGACTCACGCTTCTTCCTCGTCGTGGCTCCCACCAAAGGCAGATTAGTTTTAGATGGACGGAAGACCGTCAATCAGTTTTCTAACGCAGATGTGACAAACAGTCGTATCGCCTATCGCCACGGACCCGCGGAGATTGGGATCAAGCCGCAGGTGGACATTGCTCGAATTTGGGATTTCAGAAGTGGCAAAATTTTCAGCCTCAATTTCACGCTTACGCCCGTCAACAGTCAGGCGCCGAAGTTGGTGAGCAAGACGGCCCTACACGTAAGTCTGCGCTGGTCGTACGTACGCCATCATTTGGTTGCAAGTCTGTGTTGCACGTGGTGGCACGCCTTGGTGCGGGTCCGGCCGTGCCAGTCACTTGCGCCCACCCCCCGACCTTCGATCCTCTTGACTCTGTCTTGACACCGAACCCAAATGGGGAGTGGGGAGGAGAGAGTGCGGTAGATGCTGCGCAAGTATTCTATCACTATAAACTAATTCACGCGCAAGTCGCCGTGTGTTTCATCGTTCAGTGGAGCACACGGTGGAAACCGCCGGCAACGACGGTTGAACCGTCACGTGTTGCAACCAGAAGACCCTTTGCTGATTTAACTAGAAAACGGGGTCACAGTGGGACTAAGAGACTAAGGCTCATGACCCTAGGGATCTGCACATGACTCCGGTCTCATTCAACCATTACTGCCTCATGAACGGATCATTGCTTTCATGACAGAAGGATCAGGATACGTCATCGGAGGCAGGCGGGATCGCAGTCGTCCAGAAGAAGAGCGTTTGGAGCAAATTCGAGCGGTTGACGGTTTGAATCTGTTAGGCAGTCGCCATTTTATGACTTTTAGCCCCACACTTCCAGAGTTTGAGTTAGTGAAGCGGTCTGACCTTTGAGAATACAGTATTCATTGTGGACCCTTCGGCAACGGTAGGGAAAAGGACTCCACTTAAATGACGTCATAGGGGCCTTTATCTTGACATCCATTCGCGGCCTTTGCAGACACTACACTGCCAACAACAGTCACTTCAAATGACTTCAAACTATCACTTAAACTCCTTTATTTTTTTAAATCTAATTTTTGTTTATTTTTAATTTCCGCGCTCATTTCCATTGTCGTATGAAAGCGTACGATGAGTCTTTCAGGCAAAATCCAAACAATTTCCGTGTTTATCTGCATTTGGTCAGCTGGCTATCTAGTGCGCTACCCTACCCGTAACCCCCCCCCCAATCGCCAATCACGTATGACACGTTCCACAGTAAAGTGGGGTCGTTCTCTATACCGTTGCCGACCAGACATTCATTTGGTCAAAAACCAGGTGCCCACGAGAAGCTGTATTTTTTGAGATCTTATCTGAAGGCGGGATTTGGACGTTGTGCAAGTTTTTGCACTCACTTTCATCCACAGGCAAATTAACGACTGACTGTTCGAAACACGTCTAAGCGGGTCGATCTGCGATTTTCAAACTGCTCTAGACGGCTGTAGTGTCTACCGTGCAGTCGATTATACAATACGATGCCCATCTACATTTCTCGAGTCTTTTTGAGATCTTAACCAGTTCAGAAACGTGTACTCAAAAGGGAACATGAGTCACTCCCGCATTTGAGTGTTGCCGAGCCATTATTTGGCCTCCATCCTAACTAAAGGATTAGAGGTAGAGTTTGACGTCGTCTACGGGTGGCGAACAACTTCTCAAACTGTCAGTGAGCCGTGAGCTGCTCGAGTCATAGTTCTCAGGCCCGCAATCCATCAACAAGCGCAATGACCTCCCGGTACCATATTCCGTGCTGAGATTTTCCCTGGGCAGGGGAACCAGTCACGTGAGGAGGGCGCGGGCGAGCAATTTTTCCAGTGACAGCGAGCAAAATTGCCGAGTAGTCCTCACGCCAACATCAAACACGGAGGATAAAATTGCGGCAAGTAACGACTCGGCGCGGACTGACAAGCTGTCATCGCATCAAGCACGACCCCAGCGGTGATTGCGAGAGCTGATAATTACAGTGCGCATACGGGTCCACGGCAGCAACGTGCTATAAATACTGCACTCCTTGTGCCACCATTACCCTTATCTGTGACTGTCTCTGATGATGGATTCGAGTGAGAGGCCGAAACGTCAGGCCAATAAATTTCTTATTTTAGTGATTATATCTTCGACTTCTGAATTTGTATTATCTTTTGATTGGGGCGTGCTTTGCGCGAAATAAAAAGGATATTAATATATGATGGAAGAAGGTCAGGTAGAAAGTATTACTTTACACGTTAGCATGACCTCTGATTCTGGCTGAATGTTCGATCAGGCTTGATAGATGGGACCACTAACGGCTCTGCTTAAAGATTACAAGCAAAAGAACACATCGCTACACATTAACTGAAGCCAGTTCATCGTTTTATTCAAATTTTCGGATTTTTTTTGTAATAAGAGGCTATTTGGTTATGTATCTTCTGCCAAAAGTGGCGCATATTTTCTTTGACTTCTGAGTGCGCAGCTCAAGTGTCTGACTACATTTCAGGTGAAGGAGGGCAAGAAAGTGGTGCTTGGCTCGCAGATCCTCTCTGTCTACGATGTTGACACAGAGGAGGAGAATATAAACATCCGCCTCATCCATCCACCGCGATGGGGCCACCTGGAATTATGCATCGAAAACGTCACTGTCAACACCTCCCAGGACAACGCCGCGTTTGCCTTCACCGCTCGCGATCTCATGGACAGCCGCGTATGGTATGTGAATTCGCGACACGCGGGGGGCCAGGAGTCAGCTGGCGACGTCTTCTCCGTACGAGCCTATGACGAGGCCTTCGCCTCCGCCGAGACCCTCGAAATCAAGGTCATCATCCAACCAATGAACGACGAGGTGCCGGTAGTGCGTCTGCTGAACCACTTCTCAGTGCCTGAGGGCGGTCGCCGCATCCTCACACCTCACCTCTTCGCGGTGAGCGATCGAGACGTGCCGCGGGACATCCTGCAGATCCACTTTCCCCAATTGCCCACCTACGGCGTCCTGAGTGTGTACTGGCACTACGGCGAGCGACATGTAATCACAGCACACAGCGCACCCATTGCGGAGACATATTTGGGCATGCTAAATCTCCTCTACGTGCAGAATTCCTCCCTCCTACCAAGGGCTGATGCCAGTGATGGGCGCTATCCTTCATTCTCCTCCTCCTCCTCCTACGGACCTCACGTCCTCGCCGTGGACCAGTTCACTGTCTCAGTATCGGACGGTCTGCATGAGGTCGTCAAGACAGCTCGGATCCTGATTCGTAGACCAAATCGAATGAAACCCAGCGTCATTTCTGATCACAGTAGCGGCGTCCTCACCCTGACAGGCACCGCATGGAAACTGCTCAATGCTCTGCCCGGCGGTCTGCGTGTTGTAGACGAGGACAGTGCTGACGAGGACGTGTTGATCAGGCTGACGAGAGCACCACGTCTGGGGCATCTTGAAAGACTGCCCAGGAGGACGTCTGTGGAGAATGACGGCGCTGTGGGGGCGGATGACCTCATTGAGGCCGCCTGGGATGCAGAAGAGGAACAGGCGGAAAGACTGGGGATTTCGAAGATGGAGTTGAGGAATGCGGGAAGTATAGGCGGCGGGAAGTCAGCCAAGACTCTCGGCGAGGGGGACAGCTTCACAAAACGTCAACTGGATTCAGACCGCATTTAGTGAGTA